AACTCCCCCGGGCTGTGCCCCTGGGCACCCTGCTGGGGGTGAGCTGCTGGAGCAGGGGTGGGATGAGATGATCTCCAGAGGTCTCTCCCAGCCCCACCACGCTGGGATTTTGGGATAAGAGATGGATGCTCAGCCTCCCTTTTTCCCTGAGTGCTGCCTGTTCCAGCCAGGATCTCACCACATCACAGGGCAACGTCTGAGCCCTGGCTGGAGGAGCCAGAACCAAAAATTCTCACTCAGAGTGCCAAGGTCAGGCGCAGCCATGGAGATGGGGTTTAGGCAGTGGGTGGTTTGGGGGGAGCTGGGTTTGAGGGAATCATTCCAGGTGCCTGGAACATCCCCCAAATCGTTAGGTTTAGGTTCAGGAGTAGGATTAGGGAGTGGGCAGCTCAGACCCAAAAGAATTCACCCTATCACTGGGCTGAACAAGTCTGCAGGTGGTTCAAGTTTTGCACAGGTTCAGAAGCAGAGCAGAGAAGTTCCTGGAGGTGAAGGTCATTGTCTTATCACACGTGGGTGAACAGGGGGCTCAGGGGAGACCTTCTGGCTCTGCACAGCTCCTGACAGGAGCCTGGAGCCAGGGGGGGGTCGGGCTCTGCTCCCAAGGGACAACAGGACAAGAGGAACCAGCCCCAAGTTGCCCCAGGGGAGGTTGAGGTTGTCCCTGAGGAACAATTTCTTGCCCTGGAGGGTTGCCCAGGGCTGTGCCAGGCTGCCCAGGGCAGTGGTGGAGTCCCCACCCCTGGAGGGGTTCCCAAGCCGTGGAGATGTGGGGTGAGGGACACGGGGCAGTGGGGGCCTGGCAGGGCTGGGGGGTGGTTGGATTTGAGGATCATGAGGGTCCAACCCAAACGATTCTCTGATTCTCTGACATACACAAACCACCTCCCCCTCAGACACCTCCAAAGCTCAGGAGAGGAAGCACCCTACCCGAGCCTCACCCATCCTCATCCTCCCCATCCTCCCAGCAGGGTGAGTAGAGACCCTCTCCATCCCTGCCACCACCCAGGGCTGCTCTGCAGATCCTTCTGGTGACCTCAACCAGGCGATGATCCCCCTCAGTCCCGTGCCTCGTCCTTGCTGCTCCCCCTCAGCAGCCAGAGGAGAGGAGTTTATCCCCGTGCTGAAGAACAATCCCCAGGCCAGAGAAGAAAGCAGCTCTTACATAAGCACAGATCCAAGCCGGGCTCCTCTGCCACATGTATTATTTGCAACGTCTTAGATAACTCAGCCTTTAATATTTCAAGCAACCTGCTCCCTGGCCATTATTCTCTTCCGCCTCGCTGGGCTCCTCGACATGAAAAGCCACAGATCTGGAAGCAGGCGAGGAGCAGATGACTGAGAATTGATAAGGGCATTAATATTTATAGAGTGGCTTCTTGTTTAACCCTCCTAACAACCCCCCCGGGGTGGGGATGATGGGCTGAGCCGTGCCGGGAGCAAAGCCCGGGGAGATGGTGCTGAGCAGGGTGAAGCTCAGCCTGAGTTCAGGAGGGGGTTATGCTGCACGTGAGCTGCAGTTTCTCAGCTCAAAGGCAGATTTAGGAGGTGTAAAATAACTCGCAGCCTGATGATTTGGCTCTAGGAGAGGAAGGGAAGGGCTGAGGAGCCTGGCAGGGTGGCTGAGGACCAAGCTGGCAGGAGCTTGCAGGCTCCCACCACCTTTAAACGTATTAAAATGCATCAAAAATGTGTTTAAACGTGTCTAAAAATGGTTTGGAACTGGGTGACCTTTAAGGTCCTTCCCAACCCAACCCTTCTGGTGGTTCTAAAGGCGTTTAGGGTGGGGAAATCCCTTCTGCAGGAGAGCAGGGAAGTGGCAGCTCAGGAAGCAAACAGGCCAAACTATTCCTGAGCCATGAAACACAAACTCACCACCTCTGGAAGTGGAAAGATGAGAGAATCGTGGAACTATTCAGGTTGGAAGAGATCTTGAAGACCATCAAATCCAACCCTTAACCAGTAATGAACTCCCTGCAGGCTGGAGAAACATCTTGGCAGGTTCCTCCTATTCCTGGGTCTTCTCTTTCCACCTCGCAGGGAAAATAAGACCCTGAAGTGCTCCAGCTCTTGATTGCTCTGGTGCAGCCTCTCTTGGGGAGGTGACAGAGGGTGGGTAGATGTGATAAAGGACTCGGGTAAGGCACGTGGACCTCTCCACCCAGCCTGTGGACCTCTCCACCCAGCCCGTGGCACGGCACGAGCAGAAGATGCTGCTGAAGTGAGTCCAATCCAGTCGTGGTGCTGTTGGACCCCAACGGGGGGGGGGGGGGGGAAGATGTGCGGGGGGGGGGGCTGAATCATTCAGTCTGGAAGAAGAATTCAGGGCAACGTTTCTCAGAGCTTCTCCAGTGCTGCAGCTCTGATCAATCCTGCCACCAATTCTGCTGCTTTATGTCCAAGGACTCTTCCATTTTTCATGAGCCAGACTCAACGTGGGCTCCTGCTGTCGTTAGCCAGGGTTGGAACTGGACCTCTGGGACCACTGATGAGGATGCTGCTGAGAAGGCACCAGCAGGGATGTCAGACCTCACAGGAGGACAAAAACGATCAGCCGTTGAAGCAGCTCCAAGCTCTTGGAGAGGTTCCTTGCCACCACCATGGATTTAGTCCTCCTGGTGGGTTTCATGCCTCAGTTTCCCCATCTAGAAATCTGGCTGCTTCCCGTGAGTCCACAGAGCCTTTAGAAGGCCACCAGGTCTTCCAACTTGCAGGTGGCCCCTTCTCTGGAGGCTTGAAGCTTGTGCAATGCCACAGCCTCCAGCGATGATCTCGTGCCAGGGACCTGGGACAAGCTGGAGGATTGCTCAGCCCAAGGTCCCATCCTGACCTGGAAGTTGTGTGAGGCTGAGCCAGCCCCAGAGGGGCTGAGCATCAGATGGAACAGCTCATTCCCATCCAACCTCCCACCACTGGGAGGGCTCCAAAGGAATGAATCCAGAAGTGAAAAGGAGTTGATGTAATGGTAGACACAAGGGAAGTTCTGGTGGGTTCCCAGGAGAAAGAATTCCTTCAAATCCCCTTCTGAAGGAACCAGATCACACCCACCATTGGCCACAGAGCCACGGTGAGACCAGAGCTCATAAAGCCCAAGAGATGCCCCCAAAAAAGGACGTTTCATGCCTGTTTGGAGGGACATCAACCTGTCTCAGCCTGGTTGGTGCCAGGGATGGAAAGCTTGGCTGGAGGCAACCACTCTCCAGCACTGAGCATCTCTGTAGCAGCAGCCCAGGACACCCTCCCTGGTGCCTCCAGCCACATAATGAACAAGGATCTAAACTTCTCATGCTCTCCATGGTCAGCTAAGTGTCCTTTCATAGGCTACGTGCAAGATGTTGTCTTCAGGAGGGACACAGAATCATTCTGGTTGGAAGAGACCTTTCAGATCCTGGAGTCCAACCACTGACCCAGCTCTGCAAGGCCCCCACTGCCCCGTGTCCCTCACCCCACATCTCCACGGCTTGGGAACCCCTCCAGGGGTGGGGACTCCACCCCTGCCCTGGGCAGCCTGGCACAGCCCTGGGCAACCCTCCAGGGCAAGAAATTGTTCCTCAGGGACAACTGAAACCTCCCCTGGGGCAACTTGAGGCCCTTTCCTCTTGTCCTGTTGTCCCTTGGGAGCAGAGCCCGACCCCCCCCTGGCTCCAGGCTCCTGTCAGGAGCTGTGCAGAGCCAGAAGGTCTCCCCTGAGCCTCCTTTGCTCCAGGCTCAGCACCCCCAGCTCCCTCAGCTGCTCCTCCCCACACTTGGGCTCTAGACCCTTCCCCAGCAGCTCCGTTGCCCTTGGATTTAGCTCCTGATGAGGGATTTGTTCAGTCTGGCCCATGAAATGTGTCACCCCTCACACTCTTCCTGATCCCCAGCACCATTTGTCCCAAGTTCAGCTCAAAAACCCAACTCCTCCAATCCTCCTGCTGAGAGACCCATCCCCAAAAACACCCTGACCATATACAGAGGAAGGAACCAAGTTGGTCCCTTTAGTGGTGCCCTGGCAGGGCTGGGTTAAGAGTTGGACCCCCTGATCTTAAAGATCTCTTCCTCCCAAGACAATTCAACGTTTCTAAGTTCTTCCCAAGACCTCAAGGGCCTCATGGACTATTTTAAGAGACCCCTCTGTGGCTGGAGAAAGCACAGCTCCCCTTTCACTGAGCAGCAGGAGCTGATGAGATGGGAGGTAGACCCCTCCAGAAGCAGCCTTGCCCTGAGGGATGCTGCTCCTCACCTCCAGGACCCCTCCCCACCCTGCCAGCCTCCAGGGAGGGTGGCTCAGCCCAGCCACAGTCATCTCCCTGTTCTTCTGACGTCCAAGGCAATGCATCAAGCTCATCAAACCAACCCAGGACTTCCAGGCAGGGCAATTTTCTCCAGCTAGAACATGAAATCTGCATTAGGCTTCGTCATGAGTGCCTGGAGTTGCCCAATCTCCACCCATCTGCTGGGGGGTTGCTGGGAGCAGAGGCGTGGGTGGATCCACCTCACCCTGACGTTTCCCATGGGCAGAGGCAAGTGTTGATGCCACAGGCTCCTTCAGCATCTCTGGTTTGATGGCCATCAAATCACAGCCCCCTCTGGGTTGAGGACCCTTCCCACGCACAGCCAGCTCAAATGGCAGGTTCTAAGCCACGGGGGTTTTCCTTCCCCTCCTTGGAGATGTGTCCAGCTTAAAGGACACCATGAAGATGCACCAGGAGTCCCCGTGGCCAGTAGATGGAGGGAGGGGATTCTCCCCCTCTGCTCTGCTCTGGTGAGACCCCCCCTGGAGCACTGCATCCAGTTCTGGAGCCCCCAGGACAAGAGGGACGTGGAGCTGCTGGAGCGTGTCCAGAGAAGAGCCACGAGAATGATCCGAGGGCTGGAGCAGCTCTGCTGTGAGGACAGACTGAGAGAGTTGGGGCTGTTCAGTCTGGAGAAGAGAAGGCTCTGAGGGGACCTTATTGTGGCCTTCCAGGATCTTAGGGGGGCTACAAGAAAGCTGGGGAGGGACTTTTTAGGATCTCAAGTAACAACAGGACTAGGGGGAATGGGGCAAAGCTGGCAGTGGGCAGATTCAGGCTGGATGTGAGGAAGAAGTTCTTCCCCATGAGAGTGGTGAGACCCTGGGATGGGTTGCCCAGGGAGGGGGTTGAGGCCCCATCCCTGGGGGTCTTTAAGGCCAGGCTGGAGGAGGCTCTGGGCAGCCTGATCTAGTGGGAGGTGTCCCTGCTCATGGCAGAGGGGTTGGAACTGGGGGATCCTTGTGGTCCCTTCCAACCCTGACAGATTCTGATCTGTTTTAGCAGAGGACTTTAGAGCCCTAATGGCTCAAGGGGTGCACTGGATGATCTTGGAGGTCCCTTCCAACCTAAATGATTCTATGATTCCCCACCAGACCATAACCACATCCCCCTAAGACCATGGTCACCTCCTTGAGAACTTTGCTCATCCCCAGGAGGCTTCAACAGCATCCCCCCCGTCCTACCTGGGTGAGGGTGGAGGGGAAGGTCACCTCCTGCAGGTAGAACTGAGGCACACACTGGAAGGTGATGGTGAGCACGACACCCAAGCAGCCAAGATGCAGGCGAGCAGCCTGGAAGATGTCCACGTTGATGGACTCAGAGCACTCCAGGATCTCCCCCGAGGCCGTCAGCAGGGTGAGTGCCACGACCTGCCAAGAGGGGAGCAAAGCTTCAGAAGGTGCTCAGTGTGTCCCATCTCCATGCCAAGACCTTGCCTCCATCCCAGAACTCAGGGCTGGGGGCTAGGCAGGGAGATTCTCATACCACAACCATCATCTGGGGGTGCTTC